ACCACAGATGGATCACGTTTTATCCTTCTGTCACAGTTTGAGTGGGTTTAAAGTGTGTGTGTGGGGGGGTGTTTGTCTTCATATTATTTGCTGTTCTGTCATACCTTTTCCTTTGGGTACCTTAAACATTAGCCAACCCTCTTCAATCCTCACCAATTCCTTGGATTGAAGAGTTTTTCTGGCAGGGAAACTTTTGAGCTAATGCAAATCAGGGCTTAATAGCAGGAAGGGGAGGGGAGGACAGAGGTGGTGGCTGTGAAACAGGTGCCTGGCAAGAGGGACTGTCAGAGCTCACAGGGAGCTACAGACAGATGCAAAGGGCAACATCTTGGCTCCAGTGAAGTCTGGGACAAAATTCCTGTTGAGTTTGGCAAGGCAAGGATGTCACAGAGAGATGACAAGAGCTGCATTGGCGTCACGGGCAGAGCTGGGAGTGGAGTGCCCAGACTGGTACAGTAGCCCCCTCCACACAAGTCTTTCAGCAAAATCTCTTCTTTTTTTTTCCAAGGAAATTGTACTCGAGGGCTGCATGCACTGTCTGCATGTACTAATGACACAAATTGTTGGAAACGGGCAGGAGTTCAATGGATGGGCTGGAGCCCAGCTATGATATGGGCCCACAGGCTCAGGAGAAGCAACTTATCCCAAAGTAGCATCTCTGGTCGTGTTTCTGGAATCATCGCTGCCTGCCTTCCTTCTCCCATAGGGCAGGAAGGAGCTCAGAAGTCACCCTTCACCCTGATGGAGTTTGATCCTGGCTGGTCATTCCTGATATCCAACTGGGTCTCCAAGACTTTGGGTGATGGAGGAACCTCTTGGCTTGGTGCAAACGGAGGTGCTGCTGGGAAGCCTTAAGCTATGGATTGATTTTTCCTTGATCCAATGACACCAGGTCCTCATGTGATACCTTGGAAGCATCAACCAACCTCCCTGCAGAGAATACCAGCATCAATCAAGTCCTGCAAGCACCAGCTACCAGCCCTGCAGTTATTTAGAAGGACATTTTCACTGCATGTTATTCCAGAAAAAACTTTTCCCTAGGGCTGTTGTCAGGGAATCTCTCGGGCTGAGATCCTCAGTTCATTTGGGCAGGATCTCGGTGGATGTGTCCCACTGACAGAACCACTTCTGCCCCTTCAAGCTATTCATTTACTCAAAGAAGCACGTTCCCAAAGCTGTGCCAGAGGGGAAGAAAAACAAGGAAACGCACGTGTCAGGCTGTGCCGAGGGCTGTGCACCACAGGGTGCATTAAGGAAGTACTTAAGGAAGCTCCTTGCTGGCCTAGGGAGACAGGTCAGAGCCCATGCGTGTTTCTGTGCTGATTGCACTTCTCCTGGCAGTCGTCATTTTTTGGCCCACCTTGTAGCCAACGTGGCAGGCTGCAAGCTCCTCCAAGCTTCCCCTGCCAGCAGGAGCTGTTTCCACTCACAGAGCTTGGATGCGTTGTTTGTCCTGCATCAGTACTAGTGAAGATTCTCTCATCTCCAATTTGTCTCCAGCTGCTGGCCAGACCCCCTGCCAGAGGTCACCCTGCCAGGGGTCACCCTGCCAGGGGTCACCCTGCCCTCTGGACAACCAGCACAACTCCACAGACCAGCCAAAATCATCCCACTTGGGTTAAACACTCCTCACAGTGTTTTTAAGAAGGATCTGCTGGAAGAGCTCAGGGGAAGAATGGCCGGACTTTGGGGACAGCAGCTCCAGAAGGGACACCAGAGGAACGTCCAGGAGCTGCCTCCAGGTCTGGGGCACCCAACATCAGAACAATGTGGAGCTGCTGGAGTGAGTCCAGAGGCCACGGAGATGCTCCAGGGGCTGAGGAGCCAGGCTGGGAGAGTTGGGGGTGTTCAGCCTGGAGAAGAGAAGGCTACGGGGAGGCCTTAGAGCACCTTCCAGTACCTAAAGGGGCTCCAAGAGAGCTGGAGAGGGACTTTGGACAAGGGCCTGGAGTGACAGGACAAGGGGAATGGCTTCCCACTGCCAGAGGGCAGGGTTAGATGGGATATTGGGAAGAAATTCATCCCTTTAAGGGTGGGGAGGCCCTGGCACAGGTTGCCCAGAGAAGCTGTGGCTGCCCCATCCCTGGAAATGTTCAAGGCCACGTTGGATGGGGCTTGGAGCAACTTGGTCTAGTGGAAGGTGTCCCTGCCCATTGCAGGGCATTTGGAACGGGATGATCCTTAATGTCCCTCCCAAACCAAACTATTCTGGGATTCTAATAACTTCTCCTTACATCCCGTTCGAAACTCCCTTATTTTAACTTATGCCCATATAGGTCCCTCAGAGTATAAAGCAGATATGAGTGACATCAGAATCAGATTCCATAGAATTTTAATAGAGGAAAGAAATCCTCAGCTAGAGGATTTTTACCTCTTATTCTTACCCTTAAAGCCAACCTGCAGTGTGCAGTACCAAGACACACACTGTGCCCTGAGGGTGAAAAGTGTAATTTTACAGTTCTCAGCCACAATCACCCACGTCAGGAAACCCTCCAGAAAGCTCAAAGCAGGAAACTTAAAGGAAGAAAGAACAAAAGATGAAAAGAGAGACTTTAAAAAAAAAAAAATAGATGAGTAATTCATTTAAGACCTGAACATGAGAAGGAAATGTCAAGCCAGGAGCAGAATGTCACAGTACAAGAATAACTACAGTGAAACAAAGAAAAAGAGACAACAAGAGTGTGAGAGAAGGTGCCTAGGACACAGGAGGAAGAGGATGTATATCATTTTCTTACCAGGAAAACAAGCACGGTGCCAGCTGAACAACGCCATTGTTGTGAGCTCTAGAGAAACACCCCAGCACTGCAGGGCCATGTGCGTCACGTGAGTTTATTTTAACACTTATTAAACATGGGCAATTTCCTTATTTGCCAGGTAAAAAAACTGTTGTGTTCAAGTGAGGATCTGCATCCGCCTGGAGTTCTCATGGAGTGAGTGACTTCGCCTAGGACAAGGGACGCTCCTGATAAATGTGGCTACTCTCAGGTGACATCACTGCCTGCACTCCCCTTGGGCCACCACAACCCCCTGCAGCACCTCAGGCTGGACACAGAGTGGCTGGAAAACTGGAAAAGTCCCTGGAGGTGCTGGTTAACAGCAGCTGAACACGAGCCCAGGTGTGTCCAGGTGGGCAAGAGGCCAAGGGCACCTGGGCACTGCTGAGGCATCTCCAGTCCTGGGGGCAGTTCTGGGCCCCTCATGGCAAGAAGGACATTGCAGGGCTGGAGAGTGTCCAGATAAGGGAATGGAGCTGGGGAAGGGGCTGGAGCACCAGGAGCGGCTGAGGGAGAGGGGAGGGCTCAATCTGGAGAAGAGGAGGCTCAGGAGGCGCCAGGTGGGGCTCAGGAGAAGCCTTCCCCTGACAAGGCTTCTTGCTCTCTCCAACTCCCTGACAGGAGGGTGGAGCCAGGTGGGGGTCAGGCTCTGCTCCCAAGGAACAGCAACAGGACAAAAGGAAGCGGCCTCAAGCTGTGCCAGGAAAGGCTTACAGTGTCTTCATGGAAAGGGTTGTCCAGCCCTGGCACAGACAGCCCAGGGCAGTGGTGGAGTCCCCATCCCAGGATGGATTTGAAAGCCGTGTGGATGTGACACTTGGGGATATGGAGTGGTGGCCTTGGCAGTGCTGGGGGAACAGTTGGACTCCGTGATCTCAGGGGGCTTTTCCAACCCAAATGGTTCTGTGATGCCAGGATTCATTCCACCACTCCATCGACATTTCAAACCGGCACAAGCCTGGGGTGCTGACAGACACAGCCATGGCCCTCTCAGGCTGCTCGTTGCGGCAGCATGGAGCACACGGTGGGTGCTGGAAGCTGGCAGGGAAGAGCAGCAGGAGTTCTGGTCTGCACAAGCTGGAGAGCAACATATTCTCTCAGCATTTCCAGCAGGAGCGGCTCCAGGGCTGCCAGGCAAGTGTGGTGCCCAGCTGTCACCTGCTGACTCGGAGAGGGAATTGCATAAGCAGAAATTATTTTGGGAACGCGGCGCCCACGCCTCCACGTGAGGCCGATGCATTCCCAGAGTCGCTGCTGTGTGGCCTCTCCCAAGCTCTACTAAATCCGTGCCCCCTCTCGTCACTGCAGCAGGTCTGTTTCAGAGCTGCTGATTCTTGCTGCCAGTTGTCAGCTCTGTCATGTATTGTTTTTCCCCCGATCACCTAATCAGCTTTTTTTTATTTTTATTTTTAAGTATAATCTCAGTAGCAGAAAAGGCCTCTGAGATGGGTGATGGAGCTAGGCTTGGTTAGTCTGTAGAAAAGGCAGAGGGGATCTCATCAGTCCATGCAAACACATCCACGGGGTGTCAGAGGACGGTGCCAGACCCCGTTCAGTGGTGCCCAGCGGCAGGACGAGGGGCAGTGGCCATAAACTGAAACACAAGTTCCACCTCAACATGAGGAAGAACTTCTTTACACTGAGGGTGGCAGAGCACTATATGTCTTTTCAATACCACCAGGGATGGTGACTCCCTGAGCACCCTGTTCCAATGACAACTCTTTCTGTAAAAAAATTTTCCCTAATATCCAATCCAAACCACTCTTAGATCAAATTGAGTCTTTTGCCAGAGGAGGCAACAGCTCCTCTGGGTTTTGTGTCGTCTGCAAACTTGCTTAGTACCCCTTCCATTTATAGTGGAGTGTGTTCACATATGCCTGGAAAGAAACCTGATCCTTGTAAAAAGCAGTACAATTGTCTCTTGTGTTTCTTGTTCCTCTTACAAGAGCTGATGTTTCCCCAGGGCAGTGGAGATAATCGTAGAGTCATAGAATCATTTAGGTTGGAAAAGGTCTTAAAGATCATTGTGTCTGACCGTAGACCTAACAGTGTTAAGCCTACCATTAAACCATGTCCCTAAGTGCCACAGATGCCCAGTGGTCCTAGTGCCCGCCCGCTCCCTGTGCCCGCGTGGTCTCAGTGCCCGCCCGCTCCCGGTCCCCGCCCCGTTTCTTGTCCCCGCCCGCTCTCCCGGGGCCGCATGTCCCCTCTCGGCCGCCGTCGGCCCGGTGCCGTTGCCATGGCGGCGGCGGGCGGGCGGTGCTGAGGTGCGCGGGAAGGTCCGGCCCGGCCCCGCCATGGCGGACGAGCTGTACCTGGAGAACATCGACGAGTTCGTCACCGACCAGAACCGCGTCGTGAGTTCCGGCGGCGGGGGCAGTCAGGGGATTCCTTCTCTGTCCCCCTTTCCTTCTCTTTCCTCCTTCCTTCCTTCTCTCCCCGCTTTGCCATCTCTCCCCCCCTTTTACTTCTCTTCCCCTCTTCCTCCTCCTTCTTCCTCTCTTCCGTCTCCCTTTCCTTCTTCTTCCTTCCTTCCTCCTCTTCCCCCTTTTCCTCTCTTCCCCTTATTTCTCCTCCTTCCCACTTTTTTCTTCCTTTTTTCCCCCCTTCTCTCTCCCCTTTCTTCCTTCTCCTTTTCCCTTCCTTCCTCCTCCTTTCCCCCTCTTCCTCCTTCCCTTCCTTCCTCCTCTCCCCCATTTCCTTCTTTCTCCTCTTGCCCCCTTCCTTACCTGTTTTTAGGACAGTTCAGAAAAATGATAGGCTTGTGCATGGGTGCATTCCTTCCAAAATTTATTTCAAAAATTATTTTGAAATAAATAACTAAAAATTTTTAAAATGGCGTTTTGCCTAGATACTGGTGCAGCAAAGTTGGTGCATTTTGTCTGACACAGGGGATTTAACCAATTGAGAGGTTGAGGTTTTCATATTGAAGAGTTTTGTTGTGGTTTTTTTTCTTGTTACAGGTGACATATAAATGGCTGAGCTACACTCTGGGAGTCCATGTCAATCAGGCTAAACAGTAGGTGTTGCTACATCCCCTGAAGCTTTGTTAATTGCTTTTAATTCCTGTTTTAATTACTGTGGTGAGCATATTAAAATGATCTCTCTGGAAATATTAAAAAAACCCTTCTCAGGCACAGTCAGTTGTGTTGTTCCACGAGCCTGGCTCTCTACCAGGGTTTGTGGGCGTAGGTAAATGTGGGAGGGGTGGGAAGATGGAGAACTAGAATGACTGTAACCTCTTGAATGGCCTATAAAGCAAAGAATGAGCTCTCAGGGATTCCAGAGCTGTTCCCACAATGCAAGGGAAAGTGGATTATAAGATTTGAAGGCTCCCTGAGAGTGCCAAGCCCCATAATACGAATATTTTCTCTCCTTTTCTCTGGCTACCGCCCAGACCTAAAGAAACATTTGCTGTGCTCTGTCCTGCCCAAACCACTGGAACATCCACTCAAGCATCTCATGGAATGGAAGAGAGTGTTTGGTCTCTTTCCTCTGCATGTGTGTGAGCAATTTAGGTAGTGTGTAAATCTGAGTGGGCATCAGACTTGACTGGAGAGTCCTGCTAGGAACAATTCTCATCATAGACTAAATTAGAACTCCTTGCTGGGAAGAAGGTGGCCCTGGTGAAGCAGAGGCAACCTGGGGATGAAGAATTCTTGTGGCTTTTTTGTGCTTACAAGTCTCTCCTAGAAGCTGGCAAGTGCCTGGTGACACAAGGGAATTATTCTAGGGATTGTGCTGGATGTGACAGTGTGGTCTTTGCAGTCTGTCTCTGTAGTGGTAATGATCTTCCAGTATTTTTCCCAGGCAGTGTCCCTATGGAGTGTCTCTGCCCAGGTACATGGGACAGTCATCATAGAGCAGTGGTGTGAGTGGGAGCTGATATCTTGAGGCTCAGCTCAATCCTCCCTAATCACACTCTTCCCTGCTGTTCCTGATCACCCTATCCATGGATGTAACTGGGATTGTACATACACACCTGGCCATGTGATTACGGACCAAAAAGTCACCAGTTCCTCAGTCAGGGGTTTCAGAAATGCCTTTCTGGAGGGGGAGATTTTGGGACAAGCTGCCTAGAGGATATGAGACCATCTGCAACCAGCTACTAAATGCTTTCTATAGTTGTTGGACTGAGATTCTCTGAAGTGGCCGAGGAGGAGGGTGACTCGGGAAGATTAATTTAATCCTGGGTAAAATAACTGTGCTTGTTAATAAATGTGAAAAGTTTCCATGTCAGGGTGGCTTTACTCTTTTTTTTTTTTTTTATGTAACCTGCATGGAAGTGGTGGCTACAGGCTCTTTCCTTTCTGGGTGATTAACAGTGGTTTCTTTGTGCAGGATGCTGTATGATTATGTGGAGAGGAAACGGAAGGAGAACTCAGGAGCTCAGCTTCATGTCACCTACTTAGTAGCAGGAAACCTCCTTCAGAATGGACACGTGGTGAGTGTTTCACTTCTCTAAAGTGTCTGTGAGCTCTTTGTTCTTGTATCTCTTCCACCTTGTTTTGTGATCTTTGGGTCGAAAGCCGAACTTGCTCTTTTTCCAGTAAGACACTTCCAGACAGGTCTCCTGGACAGGTACAAAATAAGGCACAGTGTCTGTCTCAGTGTGCAGATGATGTGGAGGAAGAATCAGTTGGCCATGGCTTGGGAATACAGTGCTGAATAATGCACCAGGGTTCTTAATTAATTAACTCAAATCCTGTTACCAGTCATCTCTCTCATCACTCTTATTGGGCAGCAAAGATTATAAAACCTTCTGGAAGGACCCTTCTGAGATCAACTCATCCATTTCCTGGCATCAGCTGTGGGGTGGAAGTGTAGAGAGAGCTTGGAACTCTTTTAGAATGGAATAATAACAAACAAAACAACAAATGAATAGCTGAAGTTATCTTGTTAATTAAAGCAGCTTTTTAATCCTGGTAAAGAAGAAAGAGAAACATAAATGTATTAACAGTATTTGAAGATTTAAAAATTATTAAGAAAGAAATTCCTGCTTAATGTATTTATTTTTTTCCATATTGCTCCTTGTGAGATTTTTCAGGAATGTCATCCAAAACTTGAGACAGGTACCCCAGAAGTTTTTAAAAGAAGATGAGGAAATTGGGTTCCTGTTTCCCTTTGCTCACAGAAGAGTTTATGAGCCAAACACAAAATGCCTTTGACATCCCACTAAGTGTTTTTAAATACACAAGTATCTATTGCAGTATGATCCACAGTCATCTTTTAGGAATAGTAAATCTCAGGATTTCTATTTGTAGATTGGAAAAAACCTCAACAAACCTTTTCTTTTTTGTTCTCCTAAATAATGAACTGGTTCACATGCACAAAATATTACCTTTAAATGTCCAAATCTGCCTGAAATGGAAGGTAATTATTTATTGCATTAATTCTGTATGATGGAATATATTTATTTAAAGCTGCACACGTAATGTGACATTTATAGCCTGAGTTTAACAGGTTTTTCCCTGATTTCTTTTAGAAATAACAAGTCTCTTGGCTCACTAGAACTGGCTAGTGAGTTGTCAACCTGTACTATTATATTTAAACTTGCCAAAATGTATTTAAAACAAACAAGTGACTTCTGACATAGCAACAAATAATTATTTTTAACTCTGTCTTAGCAGCTTGTGTATTTGTTAAACAAGTTCATAGGATCACTGGATGGTTTGGGTTGTGAGGGACCTTAAAGATGATCTAATTCCAACCCCGTGCCTTGGGCAGGGAATCTTCCACTAGATCCATAAACATATAAAGGTCACTTCCCCCCTCCTTGTTTTTAAATCTCTTATTTTCGAATGCTGCAGTGTCAGTGCCTGTTAAGAAGGGTGAGCTGCAGGTGCAGGAAGGTGTTGGGGGCAGAGATGAAGCAATGCCAGGATTAGGAATAATCCACACCAAGAGTTCAAAGTTCCTCAGTCTGAGTCAATTTTGGGTAGGAAAGGGCTGTGGAAGCTCCAGGTGCATCCCTGTGCCTGCTGGTATCCCTGCACTACTGCCTGCTGGCAGTAGGTGTAGCTGGAATGCTGTGGATTCAGCTGCAGGATTCCTGAAGGGAGAGAGGGATACAATTCCTTCACAAATAATTCCCATTAAACACTGCAAACCCTTTCCTTGCTGGTTTTTATTGGCCACAGTGCGGGGCCAAGACTCCCTATCTTTATTTACTTACTCTTTTGCTGACTAATTAAAGCAACTTCTTAATACTGATTTTAAAAAAGAAACATGAATTTATTAACAGTATTTTGTATTTAAAGTGCTTTGTCTTATTAAGCAAAGGAATTGCTGCTTAGTGGATTTATTTTTTCTCGTTGCTTCTTGTCAGATTTTCAGGAGTGTCATCTAAAACTTCAGGCAGGTCTTCCTGCCTGACTTCCAACTCTAGTGAGCCAAGAGACTTCTTATTTCCGAAAGAAATCAGGGAAAAACCTGTTAAACTCGGGCTGTCAATGTCACACTACTTGTGCAGCTTTAAATAAATATATTCCATCATACAGAACTAGTACAATAAATAATTACCTTCCATTTCAGGCAGATTTGGACACTTAAAGACAATATTTTGTGCATGTGAAGCGATTTATTATTTAGGAGAACAAAAAAGAAAAGGTTTGTTGGTGTTGCTTTCCAGTCTACAAATAAAAGCCAAGGCACCCTGAGATTCACCATTCCTAAAAGAAGACTGTGGTAATTTTTTAGTGCATTAGTTCTATCCAATGGGATATATTAATTTAAAGCTGCACAGGTTGGTATCATGTTGATAGCCTGAGTTTAACAGGTTTTTCCCTGACTTCAAGCAGGTTTGTGGTATCTGTTAAACACAATTAATGGTGGTAGTCTGGATCCTTTCTGTATTAACCACAGTCTGGTAAATGTCCTGGAGCAGGTATAGACCTTGAAGACTGTCCATTTCAGAAACATTCCTTCTTGGCTTTTTAATTAAATTTAGGTTATATATTTAGGTTAGGTTAGATATAAATTTAATAAAATTAATGCTTAATTTTTCATGTTGTTTGGCTTCTCTGGTGCCATGTCTGGGCTGCCGATTGCTGGATTGAAGTGTCCTGGCAATCTTAATATCCAAGTGTGATGTGGGCTGGTGAGGAAGGTTTCTAGCTGTTCTTAATTTGCTTTTCTTCTGCTGCACAGTTGTTTAGGTTTGGTTTCATCTGTGTCTCATCTCCCAGTGTCATGAATGGAGTACAAAGCCTTTCTTAGGGATCTGGTGATCTGTAAAACTGAAAAGTGGGATGACAGAGCTTTAAAAACTAGTGGCTGATGAGTTTTTAAAGGCAGTGTTCTTTGCAGCTATGAAGCCGCACAAATAATCATTAGACTTTCTTATAACTGAAAATATTAGTCTTGCACACAGCAGATCTTTTGAAATTTTAAGATTGCCATGTGTTTATTTTTTCCAGTGCCACAAGGTTGCAGTAGTGAGGGAGGATAAACTGGAAGGTAAGAAAATTACGTGGATTTTAGTTTCTTTCTTTGCAAGAACAGCAGAATGAGCAAAGCTCAGAACTTGCCATCTGCTCATCAGTGCCCAGCCAGGCTCTTGGGGTCAGGTGTGTACCTTTTGTACCAGCTTTTTCTCAGAACTTGAAGCATCTGAGCCAACAGCTGAGTACCTTCAGGCTTATGATTTGGTCTTGCAGTTTTTTTTTTTATTAGATGCTGAACGTTTTGTCAGTGATTCTTTTCCTCTGACTGTCCTTAAAGACAACAATACCCAAGTAGTGTCTCAGAACAATCATGAGTCTTCAGGCCCCCAAGAATGCTAATTCTGGTTATTGGTTCAGTGCAATTGCAGTCTTTGCCCCAAGTCCTGTGGTTGTTAGAATGTTCTCATGGGACATTTACCTCACTTTTGTATTTACTTTCACAGTAAAAGTTGGAAAAACGCCAGCATTGTAACACTGTTGCATGTCCTGTCAGTTGTCTCACCATCTTTCCGGGTCTGGTCCTGCTGATGAAACTTTACCCATAACAATTGAAACACAACTTCAGGCCCTTCATTGCTTTCAGATAACATTTTTGTCATTTGAGGATACACTGTGGCATTTGTGACCCTAAATATCCATGCTAATGATCTCACCTTGTTTGAAAGATGAGTTATTTTCCTTCTGGAAATCTGAAGTGGATTTCTAGCTAAAGCTGAAGGGTAGGAGATTGTCAAACAGTGCAGCTACTACCTGTCATGTTTGTTGAGTTATCTGTGCTCTGTAACACCCTCTTTTGCTGTGGAGGAAAGGGTTGCTCATGGATTTTTTTATTGGAAGGCAGGCCAAAGGTATGACTTGTATTTGGAAAAGGCTGGAATTTTTGAAGGAGCTGCACAGTCCAGGACCAGCCCCAAGAAATGATTACTGTGTGTATTTTTACAGTGCCTCGAAGCTCAGCCTCAGACCAGGACTGTGTGGAAAGAACAATATAAGCAGTGAACAAAGAATTCCTGAAAAACAGCCCTCGTCTCAAGGGGGTTACAGTCTAAGTACCATAAAAGAAATAAAATTTTGATTCCAGCACTCTACTAGGGATGACACTGTGACACTGCACTAATGGCACAATTCCAGCAGAGCTGTGACCATCTACATTCCTCCTTAGCTTTAGGTACTCACACAGATATTCTGGATCCCAAACAGTGGATGGTTTGAAGGTAGACACAGAGATCACTCTTAATTCAGTTGTGCAAGAACCAAGAGTGCATAGTGGAAAATGTGACAGGCTTGTGGAGTCTGTTGCCTTGAATTCTTGATTAGTGAGTGTTGGGAGGAGGTGCAATTAGACCTTTTTATATTCAGAAAATCTGTCAACTCCATCCTATGTACTAATAAAGGACTGTTTTTCTCTCTTTTCCCCCCAGCAATGAAGTCTAAACTGTCCACAATTGCGAGTGTGCATGTGTACAGCATTCAGAAGGCCTTGCTCAAGGACAGCTCCCCACTCTACAACACTGACTATGACATTGTCAAAACAAACCTCCACAACTGCAGCAAGTAAGTCCCATCTTGCTTTTTCTTCTTAAACCCTGTGATTCTGGACTGGTGTTGCTCTTCAGTCAGTGCTTACCAGATAGATCTGGACTTTTAAAAAGCTAGAAAAAGATATCCTCCAAATCATGCCAGACCAGTCACCAAACAGCACATCATGTGACTGTTTTGTAAACTGAGCTATTTCCAGGTTACACTTGGTTCACTTGCTGGTTACTGTTCCAGTACCTTTCTCCTCTGATGGCTAGAAGGTTCTTTCTCATTTCCAGGTCACACTTAATCATGACTATTTTAATCCAGTTCTCAGTCACACAGGAAAAGTAAATTGAAACAGACTTAGAAAACCATGAGTGATGTGCTCAGCAAACATGAGTTTGCTTTCTCTTTTGTGAGACCGTGTTTTCATCCACCTCTCCGAAGATATCTTACAGGAACTCATTCCCCAGGAGTTGGGCTTTGATCCCTGTGGGTCCTTTCCAGCCCAGAATATTCTGTGGTCTCTGAGAGTCTAATGCTTAGGAGGAGCACACAAAACAGCCCAGGCAGCACAAGTGTCCTTTGTGGCTGAACTGGAGAAGAACTGGGAGGGACTGCAGTCTCCAGGAGTCACTGTCTCCCCTCCTGAGCAGTGCCTGGCAGCTGTGACTTTTCATTTATATCTTGTTCCCCACCATGACAGCTTCAGCTTGAAGTCATGGGGATGTACAGTGCCGTGACCAATCTGGTTTAAAAGGGGGATGCCTGAATGCTGTGTCATAGGAAGAGTATAGAATTTGAAAGGACAAACATAGCTGTCTGCAATGTGTTGACAAGAGAGTGGCTGAGAAAATATTGTCCTAGAAGCTGTTTGACACAAGAGGCAATGACCTGGAAGGTGCTGGAAACCCCCCTGTCAATGGAGCCACATGCCATAGATTTGGCTGCACTTGCCTTGTTCCACTCTGTTTATTCTCAGACACCCCAGTTTGGTGATATTTGTGCCTTGGAGGAGTCTGCCTGTGGGATTTGTACATCCAGAAGGTTTAGATAATTTAGATTCTGAAACAGCTCTCCAAAGCCTGGGTGTAAAGCCCTGTCTGGCTTTGGAGTAGAATTTCCTAAGCAAACTTAAGAAAAATTCAGCTTCTTCATTTGTGACCTAGCTGAACTTAATTCAGCCTGACAATGTTCTGTCTCCCTTGTCAACTATCTGGATTATCTTTGGCACTTGGGAAAAGATTCCTGCAGGACCTGCAAAATCCAGGGGTTTTTGTGTGAGGTTTGTAGCAAACAGAGGCTCCCTGTGAGTCCAAATATCTCACAGCTCTAGGAGAAGGATCTTTATTCCCTTCCGTGTTTCTATAGGACCTCCTTTGCTGTGGGGATATTGGAGGTAACTAGATGTACTAATTGATATCAGTAACTGAATTTAGTGCCTGTTGCCATCATCAACTGGAAGCAGCTCCTTGTTGGCAGAGCATAGTTCAAGCATTGCTTATATTTTCAGTGATTTTCTAGTGAATTTTGAGGCAAGCCCATAAGCTACAGTCGCATGGCAGCATCAAGGCAAGCTGATTTGGAATATGGGAAGTTTAGCTGAGCTCTGCTGCACAGTCAATATCATTGACAATATTATTTGTAACCTAGAAGGTTGGTGACAATATTATTTGTAATCTGGAGGATTGATGGTGTTTAGATTTGGAGCACAAGCTGTCCTGAGAGCCATATTAACCATGTTAAAAGTATAAAGGAGAGCAGGAATATTTTCCTTCAATGTCTCTTTTCGTTCCTTTAAAGGTTTGAATGTCAAGAGGTTGCTGCTGCAGCCTGGGAATGCCGTAGAGATGGTGTTGTTTGGTTAATACATTACAGACCCTGATCTGAGTGAAGTGGCCTGTGCACGTGAGCGGCCAGTGCTGAGGCACAGAAATGAACTGGTTTGTTACTTATGCAAATAGAAATCTGCTGTGTAATTCAGTGGGTTGGGAGGCGTGAGCCTGGGCTCTTTTGTGGCATTTCTGTGGGAAATCTGGAAAGCGTCGCCTGTGATTTGCACAGTGGGGAGCAGAGTTCAGTTATTTTTGGGAACTGCTATTCCTGACTGTCAGTGAGTTGTGCTGTAACTGCAGGCATGTCATTTGGTTCTTGTATCTCCATATCCCCAAACAATCAAGTATTATAAGCTGAGTTGCACCTCTGTCTACCAGGGATTACATGGAAATGACTTTATATAGTTAAGTTGGAATATCTTCTGTGCTTCGTTCAGTTTCAGTTGTTTTACTTACCTGGGAAGTTGCAACCCTTGTGGCCTCTGTCAGAGCATCTGAAGGCTGTAAATGTTTCAGATCCTCACACAGCCATACAACTTATGCCACAAACTCTAACCCATTTAGGAATAAAATGCAGCCTGCTCTCTCTCCACCCTGGGTATGGAGAAGGCTCTTTTCCCCCCAGGAAAGCTGAACAACTTGTTTAGCATGGGAATGCTCTGCCTCTTGCTGACAGGTCCAGCTGATCTTTTCATCAGAGGTCTCTTGTTCTGTGCAAGCCTTTCTTTCTTGTCCCATACACAGATTAAACTGCTCTTTTTTCCATAACAGGAAAATGCAGGACCGGAGAAACAGGGAAAAAACGAGCTGAAAACTCAGGAGTTGAAAAGGCTAATTGAATTTTTTTCTCCATCACCCAGGTTCAGTGCCATCCACTGTGACGCCGCAGTCCCCAGGATGCCGCCTGACATTCCCAGAGCACAGACGTCCCTGCAGGGCAGTTCCCAGAGGGAAAATGACACTGGTGCTCCCAGCGCTCCTGCAGTCAATGGCCACGGGCCGCTGGCTGCCAAACACCCCTCGCAGCAGCACAAAGGGATCATGGGAATGTTTGCAGCCAAAGCGGCTTCCAAACCCCAGGACACAAATAAGGAGACCAAAGCAGAGGCCTCAGGTGTAAGTTACCTCAGACCCCCCCTGGGTTAATGGCTTTAATGAACCGCTTTTACACCACCTCAGTAACCTCAACCACCTAGTGCTGCTCCTCCTGCTAAACTCACATCCCACTGGGAATGCTCAGTGACCCTCTGAAAGTGTTTAACTATGTGCAGTCATCTGGGGCAAAAATACCTTGTGCCACACTCTTGATCTCTCCACAAAAGTGTATTTGCAATAATTTTGACATTCCCCCTTGAGCCGAGTCTCCGGTGAGTATAAACCAGCATAGCTGCCTTATGGAGACAATTATTCCGTTGTCTCCAGCTATCCCAATATATACACCAGTTGAGGATCTTGCTCTCCCCATTGTGCTTAAAAGGATTTGTTTTGAGCAATACGTGAAATGTGAGAAGCTCAGGTCTTAAAAGTATCAAGGTGTTTAAACTTAGGCTGCGAGGGAAGTCTCAGAACTTGACCTGTGCAAGACTAAATTGTTTATCTTCTCCACTGCTGTTTTTCCAGGATAGGATTACGTTTTAATTTTAATTAGTAGAATTGTTTTTAAAGCTATTTGGCCAGAAAAATGAGTGTTTAAATGGTAACGTTCCCTGTGTATGGTTTGGGTTTTTTATAACAGCTGAGTACATTTTGGTTCCTTTTTCTGATTTTTATAGTGAATTTAGAACTGGTGAAATGTGCGTGTTTTGGCAACTTTAGTGTTTGGTTGCCTTTTATTTGCATGGGAATTAATGGGGTTAGGAGGCCATACTTCCTGGGTCTGTGTGTGATTTTTTACTTGAATGGTGGCTGTACTGGTGGAAAAGAGCAGTGATATTCCTCTGCAAACAGCCTACGTGCCAGAGGAGCTGGATAAAACCTTTCTGGTGTGGTCAATCCATGTTCTTTCCTCTGTTGCTGTGAATTGAGGCACTGATAGTTTGCAAAAAGAACAGTTCTTTCCTGGGAACTGACCCAAGTCCCAAGCACTTATTTCAGCAACACCATCAGATGGGAATGTGCCCCAAGTTAGATTTGAAGGCCTGGCTAAGGAGTCCTTAGTAACTTACTCTCACCCCTTTGATGCCTGTAGTATCTAGTAAGTATCTTCAAATTCTCCTAAATGCTAAAGACGGTGGTGAACAAATCATACCTGTTTATTTTGCTTGTCCAGAAGCAGTTCTGTGCATTTGAGGGCTGTGAACAGTTCCTGTGGTTACTCCTCTGTTTGCTCCTAGGTCTCCACAGCTAGCAGCAAACCACCAACAAAAAACAACATCATCAACAACTTCTTTGGGAAAGCTGCTATGAGTAAGTGCTTTTCTGTTTTCAGAGGTGGTCAGGGAACAGCCTGGTGTAGTTAAAAAAAAAAAAAAAGAAAACAAACAAACCCAAACCTGAGGGTTCTGGGAAATCTCTTTATCTCTTTTTTTTAATATATATATATTATTTAATCTGGGTAGCAATTAAAAAATATTCAGTGGAATCAAGTGTTTTGTTAAAGAGCTGTAATGGGAGACATATAGAAAAGAGCAGAACTCTTCCTTCCGATCCCCACACTGCCAGACTCATTGGATTTTTTTTTATATTCCCTCTATCCCAATATTCTTCCATACTGTTTTGCTCTTTTGGCCTTAGAGGGGTTAATGTTTTGGCATGCAACTCTTAAGGCAAAAATTAAGACTTTTCAGTAGAGTTTTTCAGACAAAAAGCTTGCTGGAGGGAGATCAATTAAAATGACATATTTGTGCAGACTAACCCAGGAAGGATTTTTTAGTGCAGAAGAAATCTGATTTAAAGTGAGTACTCCTGGCTGGAAGATCAGCTATTGGGGAGATATTTGCCAAAACCTGTTTTGCAGGGCATGTTAATAGTGCTTGCTTTTCATCACACAGTGCTGAGGAGTCCATAGTTAGTTTTTTAATTTTTTTCCAAAAAACTAAAGGACTAACAACTGGAGAGTAAAAATGAAGGGTGGCCTTCCCCTTTGAGCTGAGCTTTCGACTAGGTGGCCTCTGGAGATCCCTTCTGAATTATCCAATTCTAAGAAAATATGCTGAAGCTTTTAAATAGATGTTGGAAAAGGACTGTAGGACCTCCTTCAAAGATTCCCTTACAACAGTGAGTACAGGAGGCTTCAAAGAAGAATTTTGGAAGAGAGTAAGCAACAAAGTTCACTTTCTAAAAGGCATCTGACAGAGTTTGCAGGTGACAGTTCCAGCACTGAGCACACAAGGCACAGCCCTGTTGGGAATCTTTGAGTCCCTGTTTTGGTGAGCCTGAGGGAGTTGAGGACGCTCAGCCTGAGGACAGTCACCACAATTAACCAGAGTAAATTCTGAAGGTCTGAGAAGAGCCCTACACCAAAGTTCATGTGTTGAAAACCCAATCAGTTGGAATGGCATGGTAAAAGTAACCCACTGAGGATGGGGAATTCTTGTTGCATGCATTTCCACAATTTCCAAAGGGTTTCCCTTCTCTGCTGAGTCCTGTCCTGGAGCACATCAAGGAAAGATTGAGGTGGGAACAGGGAAGGAGCAAACCGAGCAGAACTGGAAATGATTATGTGCATAGAAGAGAGAGGGGGATTCCAGGAGGAAGATTTATTCCCTACATGTACGTCTCTCCTGGCTTCAAAGATTCCACCATTGCCAGAAAGTCCTAAATTACCAGTGATAGGGTCCTTGGGCTTTCTGCTGTTGATCATAGACAAGAGCTGTCATTCAAGTGCTGGTGTAGGAGATGTTTGCCCTTGCTCCAGGAAGCAGCAAGTGTTTTCCAAGCACTGCCAGAAAGGCTTTGGCATGGAGTCATCACCCTCCCGGCAGCCTCTGACCCTGCTGATGATCCGGTTGATCTCACTGCTCAATATTTTCTTTTTTCTTGGGCATTTCATGCTTGGGGTAACACAGGTTTCTATCTCACCTGCTCCTCTCTTGTGGAGGTGTGGAAAACTGCTGGATGAAGCTCACAGACTGTATTTAGATGGTTATATTGATAAATATATTATTTTGTTGTCTACTCCCATCTACTATCTCTTCTCTGGTACAAAGTGAAGCCTTTTGAAGCAGAATTGTCCTTATATGTGATGCTGCATAGGCAAAAGAGGCTGATTCCAACCTCTCTGCCAAGAGGATCTTTAAGGTCCCTTCCAACCCAAACCATTCTGAGATTGTTGATCATGTTCATATTGGGGTGGGACAACAAGCTGCTGTACTACTGAAAATACTAATCATGGGTTGTAATGTTATGCAAGGAGACTGCACACACCTCTTGTTCTCTTCATCAGTCCTAATTCTCCTGTTTCTGGCCATGTTTGTGCTTAACTATAAGTGAAATTCAGAAGGGATAAACTGAGTCTGAAAACAGATGTAGTGTTGTGTCAAAGGAGTGTCTAGAAGAGGGGCTCCCAATCCTTCTGCAGTGCCTTGGCACCTGGAGACTATAAGGGCTTCTGCCACTGCTTCCCAACCCTCTTCCACAGAGTTTTCACTGCTGCAGTACCAGTGGCTTAGCATCAGGAACAGCAGAACCATGGGAAATCAGGTGGAAATTTAATCATGCCCTTTTTTTCCCATGTATGACACAGTTTGACCAATCTAGATCCCTAATCTAAATTAGGGATTGCTAAATCCCCAATGCAGTCTAGATCCCTAAATACATCATCTGGAGTGTTTTCTGTATTCTTGATGCACAGAGCCAGCCAGCTCCTCTCTAAGTTTCATTCATACTGAATGCTCAGTGTTTGTTCTTTTTGAATGGTTTATTCACAGATAAACTCAAAGTCAACCCTGTGCCCGAGCAGCCAAAGGAGGAGAAAGAAGTAGTCAAGCCTTCAGTTGCTGTAGCAGAACCAGAGTCATCCCCTAATCCTGTAGTAGAGAAACCTGGGAAGAGAACAGAGTCTGCTAGAATTCAACAAAAGGACAGAAAAAGGTAGGTTGTGCCTTTGAGTGTCCCTGTCACTTGGGAACCTGGTTGTTGGTGGTCTGCGTGGAGCTGTCTGGTCGTACGATGTTGGCTCACCTCCTGTTTCCAGCTACTAAATTGCATTAAACCTGGCTAAAATTATCTCTCCGAGAACTCCTTCCTGGTGTTTCTTTTCCTTTGGTGCTGTAGGTGCCTCAGGGCAATTACATATGGGAAGAGACACAGTCCAGGTTGTCTTCAGTGGAAGGGGGTGGCTTTCCATGAGACAACCTCACACTGTGAGCAGATTTAGGATAGACCTGAGGACTGGCAGGAGCACCTGTCCTGCAGGGAAGGTGGTATATTCCCAAGCTTATATGTACACAGCTTCCAGCACACAAAGTTCTGCTTGTTGGTTCCCATAGCTAATGCACTGCTGCTTTCAGTGCCCCTGGTTTACTTTGGGCTGAGGCTCCAGGTAAATTTTAAGTTCAGCCTTTTGTGTGTAATCCAACCCAAACTGACAGAGACAAGGAATCACTAAGTCTGATGGCTCTCTGGTGGCCTATGAGTAATTAATTGGTGGTCTCAATCCATTTCTTACTAAATAGGTAAGCACACCACCCAGCCCACCATCACACTGAGCACTAACTGCTTGTCTTATTGATAGTCTTGTGCAAAAAGCCAAGGGCCTGGAGGTGTTGGCAGCATGGATTTGGGAAAGCCACTGGGGCTGTCCCAGCTCTTTGAGGATACGTGGGCCTGTAGCCTCCAGGCTTGTTGGTCTGACGTGTCTCGCCAACATTAAAAAGAAAGAAGCTATTTTATTTTTCCAGTAGTCTTTAAAAATGGCTCCAGGATTCTGAGACACTACCTCATAGTCAGTCAGTGGCAAGCAGTCTGTCAAAAGAGCTTCTGAGTGATGCTTTTGGGGACATCGGGAGCCTGAGCTAAAGAGACAAGATCAGAAATAGGCTGTTGCCGTGGCCAAGCGAGGTGAGGTACTGGGCTGAACTGCAGAGGGGCTAAATAAACCTTCCTTGTTTTGGAGAGCTGGATATGGGTTAGGATGAGAGGCTTGGAAATGCTGGTGCACCTATTCCTGATTGTGTAGGGGAGTGTATAGTTCACCTCATGTTTTTAGGAGGTACAGAGGTATTTGAGTTCCTTCCATAATGAATGTGCTTAGCCAAATACACATGATGCTTTTATGCACACATAAGAGATAACAGGTGTTCCTTCCCTTTTTTTCCCTTTTTTGTGGCAGTAGAACGAAGCATGTGGACAGGTCAGATAACGAGGAGGAAAGAGATCCCGAGAACGCAAAGAGAAAGAGGAAGCGAATCAAACAACTTCAGTCTGACAGCAGTGATGAGGAAGGTAAAAAGATCTGTAAACAAACCAGTCATGTAGGTCAGGGGCCTGATTTCCACAACATGACTATCCAAGACTGCTGGTCAGTGATTGAGGGAATAGTTTAGAGGACTAAAGACCATGGAAATGGCTTTAGGTTGAGCTCTCTGTTTATCTTTGTGCTGTGCAAGCACTTGGCCATAGAGTTGAGATGCCTCAGTCTTTGTTTTAGCTTAGCTCAGACCTGGCTGTCTCCTCCCCAAGTGTGCTATCAGTCACATGGACATGTGAGAAAGAGGTTCCCAAATCTCTTGTGAAAGATATGACACCTTCCAAAATCACAGGACTGGTCATAACCAGTTTATTTGGTGAGTAAACACTCACAAAGTGACCTTCCCCTCCTCCCAGGGTCACTTTTAGTATCTTTATTCTGTCTGTTTATAGAAATGGTTTGGAAGACAGTGTTGGAAGCAAGACTTCCAAAAAAAAAACCCAAAAACCAGATAATAGGGAAACTGGAGGCAAAGCAGTTGAGCTGATGCGACTTGGCGTCTCCTCAGTAGCTGTTGGCTTTGACAGGAGTTGGGTGCCCAGAACATCTCAAGATTTGGGCTTACAGTAAGGAACAGCAGGGCTGGATTCCAAAGAATGTGGATAATTGAGGCGTCAAATGCCGTTCAGTACAGATAACTGGAAAATAAGTGGGGATTGAGCTCTGGAGTATGTGCGAGATGGAACTGGCATCCAACGAGCTGATCAGGGAAAGAATTTGGGGATCATTATGGGCGAATAATTGAAACCACCAGTTTGGTGTAGAGCTCCAGTAAAAGAAAGTGAAACAGCAAATGGGTTGTATTGGTGAGGAGGAGGGGTCCAGCAGGAGAGCTGGTGCTGTTTCCTCATTTAGTGTGGCTGCCACATTGGAAACAACTGGGAAATCAGGAGAATCTGCAATACAAGTGAGAGAGGAGGCTTCTGTTGGATATCTCTGCAGTCTCCATGCCACCTTTAGGCCTGTTTTTGTCTCTTCTACCCAGCATAATTTCAAGTGAACTTTGTCATCACCTCTCCTTAGACTATTCCACAGGATGATAAATCTCTCAGGAAGTTATTCTTCATGATCAGCCTTAATTTCATCAAATTCCTGTGTGGAGCTTCTTGTTTGGCTGTAAAAAAAATGCGTACATGTCCACACTCTGGTATTTATTTCTCTAAAGGTTTACCATTCCATTTCCTCATCACTCACCTACCACGTTGTTTAGCTCTGAAGAGGGAACATTGAAATCAGCCTGTCCATGCTGGGCTGGAATCTCTCAGTGAGAGAGAGTGGGAGCAGGCGGGATTCTGGAATATTAGAGCTCTCTGGTCTCCTGTAGAATACCTGTGGGACCATAACATGTGCTGAACAGTTAATGCTTTTGTATGTGGGGTCTCATTTATTCCATGGTTTTTGTTTATTCTCTCTGTGACCAGTGACAGGACCTGAGGGAATGACTGGAGCTGTGTCAGGAGAGGATTAGGTTGAATATCAGGAAAAGGTTCTTCTCCCAGAGGCTGGTCAGGCACTGGAGAAGTTTTTTTTGTCACTGCTGTTGCTCCTCCTCTTTATTTCTTTGTGTTGTGCATTAGAATTGTAAATGTATGCAAATTACAACACATGTATACAAATTTGGATATCCCTCAGATTGCCCCTTTCAAAAGGGAAAGTGAGAACTGGGAGAGCTCAGCCCTTTGGTCCTGCTACTTGCCCTTCTAAATCCAACTGGATGAAAGAAGGTAGATTGGAATTCTTTGGAATATTCATAATGAATCCAAACTGGTAATATTACATTCAGTATTCAAGTAGAAGAATGTGAGTTGGATGAAACAAATCATTTAAAAAATAACAATATACATATACATAATTGCAGCCTTCCAGGACCTGAAAGGGGCCTGCAAGAAAGATGGAGAGAGACTTTAAAGGGTCCTGGAGTGACAGGACAAGGGGGATGGCTTCAAACTGCCAGAGGGCAGGGTTAGATGGAATATTGGGAAGAAATTCTTCCCTGTGAGGGTGGTGAGGCCCTGGCACAGGTTGCCCAGAGAAGCTGTGGCTGCCCCATCCCTGGAAGTGTTCCAGGCCAGGTTGGATGGGGCTTGGAGCAACGTGGTCTAGTGGAAGGTGTTCCTGTCCATGGCAGGGGGTGGGATGAGATGAGCTTTATGGTCCCTTCCAACCCAAACCAGTCTGTCATTCTATGATTGATTCTATGAAAACCACGGCCCCTGTTTTCAGGCAGACTTAGGAAGGTTTTGTGGGTTTGAGGCTCAGCCCATACGGCTGATGCAAAGCACTGTATGGGCACTTTTATGTCAGGGCAAGTCTTTTGCGTTGTTCTGTATTAATCTGCTCTTGGTGTACTGAAAGGAGCCCAAAATAAGCTCTTCTTACACCAGCGTCAGCACATTGTAGCAAGTACAGAGGGCATAAGGCACAATCCTCTCCATTTAAATGATTTTTCATTAAAAAGTTATATTGGTACGAGGGTTCCTTAGTCAGTGTAGGTTGTTTTGCTTCCAGTGCCAGAATAAACTCCACAAATGTGCCCACAGAGGACAGGAGGTTTTGGCAGCTTCAGCCGTATGAACACAGGCAGCTTTCGCAGTGTTGACAAGTGTTTTACAGCCACTTTGGAGGGTGATTTCAGTGGCACTGTAACCTGCAAACTCTGTGGGTTTTAGAGCCACAGCAGAAGCACTAAAGCTTCTCACAGTTTTTCCAGGCAGGGTCAGAGCAAACCAAACAAAGCCAGGATTTACATCTTTGGTACATCCAGTTGCCCAACTTGTATCCATTTCATGCAGCTGTTCCTGTTGAGTAAACTGTGGGCAGCAGCAAGAGGTTGACTCAGGAGTTATCACATGTCAGAGGGCTGTGTTGGCTAGAGGAGGATAATAAAGTAATAAAGAGCTTGATAATAGTCCTAAACACTGACGTGGGGAGAAGGTACCTTCTGCTGGCCAAAAGCTGGGGGAACTTTTTTCAAGAAGGCTGGAAAAAAACCCAAAGAAGCCCAAATTTCCCCCAGGTGGAAATTTCCCCCCATAGTGGAGCGGGCACACTGAAAATAACCTTTAGCAGCCTCTGCTGGAGGCTGGTTTTCAGCCCTTCTTAGCCTGTCCTCCCTTAAAAATGCATTTCAAATGGACATGGCCAGGCTGGGCAGTGCATGAAGCAGGTTTGGTGCTCAGCAGTTGCCGTGAGACTGTGATAAATAAAATATTGAGAGTTTTGAGCTCCCCGCAGCTCCTTGGCCGCCCCAGCACTTACACCTCAGAGCAGAGCTGTTGTTTGGCTTTATCTTTGCCAGCCCCAGCCCTCTGGAGTAAGGTGAAACCCCGAGTCATGTTATCCCACTCCATTTGCGTTTCCGTACCTCGCTTACTGAAGTAGTTGGGAGGCTGAGTCCTTGTTTGAAGAATGTAATTTGTTATTCAGCCTTGGCAGCCAACCACTGTTTCACTTGAGCCCTTCTTAACCCTTGAAGGTCAGTTGGCCACGTGCCTGGCAGGGCCATAACTCTTCACACTGACCTAATCTTCTGGGACAGCTACGGATCCCGAATCCGTGTCAGGCCAGCGGGATGGAGGCGGTGCCACAGCCAGCAGGGCTGGGAGCAGGAGCCAAGCAGCCTCTGTCCTCCCAGCCAACCACATCCTTGTTGGGATGAAGCAATAGGTCAGATGAGGAGTTTCTTCCCCCACATTCCCAGCTCTGCCACACACTGGGAGCTTACGTGACACTGTTTCTCACTTGGATCTCTTGGAGCTCTTCAAGCCTCATGGAAGGGTTACCCTGCCTTGCTCATTTGCCTTTTGCTCCATACAAACTTGTGAAGGTGTCCTTGAATGGTTCAGTTAGTCTTGGCATTGAGTGGATTTCAGTGTCCCTGTCCTTGTACCCAGAGGAGAGCAAGGAGATGGCACAAAGAGAGAATGGGCTTCTTTTTTTGTACTGTTTTGGGGTTTTGTGATTTTGGGTCTTTTTTTTTCAAAAAAAAAAACCACAAGACCCCCAACAATCTTTTAGGATGAGTAGTAGTATGTTGCTCTTAATTCTTGGATCATTTGGGATGTGTAGCACCACTAGTGAAGCAACAACTGTTTTACTATACCCTGACTCTCTTGACTTCTGAACAATTACAGTCACTCTTTTAATGTGCAAGTGAAATGTATGGCTTAAACAAGCCAGTTTCTGTGCCTGTTTTTAAAGCTTCATTTGGTGGAACTGATTGTTTTGCCTTGGCAAAAATCCCAAATGCACTTCTCCCATCCTATCCCACCCTCCTTTCTTTGGGAACTGCAGCATGTCGTACCTTAGCACAGGGTAAACCTTCTCTGACTGCTTCCAGTGATGTGTCCTGATTTGAATTCAACAAATCCGAGTGAGAAATTGTAAACCTTGGTCTAAACACAGGTTGAATGAGTTAAATGGAATTGTTTGAGACAAAAGAGGAGCCGAAGGGGGCCATTAGACCCGTGTGCTATCAAGGTGTTCTTCTTAGCAGATGTCCCACCACCTCCCACACCTGAGGAAGAGAAAGCTCCATCTCCACCACCTGTACCTGCTCTGAAAACTGAACTGGAGCCTGCAACCATGGAGGTAAGAGCAAATTAAGTGATTAACTTACAGAAATTAAACCAGACAGTCTTGGTATTCAACCTTTTATCGCAAGGGAGCTGCTACATGAGGGAGATTGGCAAGAAGTTAAACTCTGAGTTGAGAAAATAGGTGTAGCTTTACTGAAAGAGGGGAAATTTGAGTTAGATAGATGGAAAAATTCTTCCCTGTGAGGGTGGGGAGGCCCTCACACAGATTGCCCAGAGAAGCTGTGGTTGCTCCATCTCTGGAAGTGTCCAAGGCCAGGTTGGATGGGGCTTGGAGCAACATGGTCTAGTGGAAGGTGTCCCTGTCCATGGCAGGGAGTGGAAATGGATGATACTTAAGGTCCCTTCCAACCCAAATCATTCCAGGATTCTATGAAATCTCAACAGTTTGTCCTGGACACCTTGTCCTTTCCTCATTCTTTGGAGGTGTGATGGGACATCCCTTCTCACATAACCAAACACATCTCCAAACGTCTCGTGTCTCAGAGGAGGAATGTTCTCCCTGTGCTGGCACCAGGAGAGCTTGCTGTCTCATTGAGGTTGTATTTTGACTAAGATATCCTGGGAAAGGGCAAAATTAGTTATCAAATCATGCTCATCTTCATTAGAGAGACCAATTTCCCGCCTGGAGCTGACACTTTTATGACCTATGTACGTGATGGGGCCTTAACTCTTGGTTTCTCACAATGCTGCCATGCCCTTCAGGTGTCAGCTGGAGGGAGGAAGAGGAAGCGGAAGCGTGTGCTGAAATCCAAGATGTTTATTGATGAAGAAGAAGGCTGCATGGGTAAGGCTGGCTGTGCCCTACCCCTCAGTGGAGCTCACTTTATTGATGACTTTTACAGGTTCATGAAGTCACTTTGTTATTCCACATGGAACTTGTGCTCTCAGACTGAGGGAACTGCCCTTCTGGTGAAGGCCTGGGTAGGGAGTCAGGGAGCTGGAACTGAATCCTTACCCCTTTTTGATTATCCTTAGATTTTTCTTTCAGTTTTTTTCCCTTTCCTCTTGCCAGCATGAGCACCACCTTCATGTACTCTGCTCTCCAAAGCTGCAAGCTTTTCAAGGTGGTGCAGAAAGAGGTTTAGGGTTTGGGATAAATTCTGGCTGAGATAAGTTTGGGGTTGTTGTTTTTTTTTTTTTCCTTTGGGGATAAATCCAGAGCTATGCAACAGAACTTGATTATATATTAAAGAAACTTCCATTATCCCAGATAAACAAGGAATAAGCTGGGGGTTAAATACTTTAGAGGGTTTATGTTTCTGATGAAGGTGGAGGAAAGAGAGGGAAGAGAGTCCCTACAGAAGTCCAGGGAGCCACAGGCTTTGAATTCCAGCCTGACTGGACACTGCTTCCTCCTGTGACCTGGAGAAAGTTGCTGTACTTTTTTCCTCTGTGTTCTGACATTGAAGTAGAGCTGCAAAAGTTCAGAATAACGTTAGTTTGGGTCTCGCTGTTTGTTTTTTTAAAGGTTTTATACATTTAAGAGTGTGGAATGTATGTTTCATAATGCTGTTGTCAACACAGTTGTGTAGGATGCTTAACATTCTCCAGCCTTGATGATCAGAGGGGATGTCAAGGGAGCTCAACCGGTTCTGGGACATGATGTGGTGCTGTTGTCCAGGTCTGTTGTGGTGCCTGAGCATGGACAGACACGGGCATTCCTGGCCCGGCTCCGGAGCTGCCTGGCCCCGAGTCAGCCTGTGTCTGTTTGCACCTGTCTGCAGAGCTGGATCTTATGTTTCCTATTAACTTGGTGTGTGTCTCCTTTAAAGAAATGTAAAGCTCTAGCACTCAGCAACTGGCTGCACTAGGGACTGAAATCCCAAGGTCTGGATTTCTGTCCAAGAATTGGACTTGCACAAGGTTACTGACAGTTTTGGCTCCTGACATGAGGGAGTGTTTTGGTTTCCCATCCCAGATAGAACCATTAAAACACTTGGAAGGAAAATGGAACAAAATAGCATTAGCTGGGGAGCTGAGCTGAACAAGCTCTGCGTCCAGAGCAGAGGAATGACTGTTCCGGGTTCAGCTTCCAGCAAATAGTGCTCTTCTCCCTCTCTTCAGCCTTTCCCAATGGAACACTCCTGGAATATTGCCTTTCTTTCTTTGCTCTTCACCCCCATGGGGTTTCATAGTCCCTTGGGAAATCTAGAGTTTAGGTTTTATAGTTCACATCCACTACCATTTGATGAAAAGGGAAATGCAAGCCCCTGTTGTGCCCCTGGGAGACAGATCCTCTGGGATAGACAGGGATGCCGGGATACTGAGGAACTAGGGAGGAGATGCTGCTTTCCCTACTAAAAACCCTCCAAGCCTGTAGTGCAGAACTTGGCTGTCTGGTTATTGCCCAGTTTCTCCCCTCCCTTCCTTCCCCCACCCTTTCCACGCACAAGTCTAATAATTCAAAGGCTAAATAACTCGCACATTTCCCGGAGTAATGTGGATTGTTGTTATTCTTTGAAATATAGGGGCGGGGTTTTTTGTTTTAAACCAGGACTAGATTTTAAGAGACTTTAAATCCTAACATTAGAATGAGGCTGTACTTTATATTTCCCCACAATTTTGAGTGATGGTTTTCACAATAGCTGCAATAGCAAGGAATTGGTGTCAAAAAGCAAAACTAATTTAGGGATTAGCCCTGAGGGAAATTGTGCAATTAAAGTATGTGTGGAGTTAAGCACAAGACATGTTCCCATGTATCAACAGGGATTTCATGGATTGAGTTTCTGCTCTTAGTCTATAATAAAGGGGAATTACCAAGGTTTAAACTAGAGCACTTCTACCTTGCACTTTCTGGAGCTTGAAAGGACACGTGTGGGCTTGAGTATTGGAATATAGACATGTGCATTGGAGAGATACTTGTTTGACAGCATTTTAGAGCTCATGTTTGAGTTACTGTGATTTTTGGGGAGTCTGGCTGGTAGTGGGGCATCAATTACTGTATCTGTATGCTGCAAATACAGACCTTTTAAGTTCAGCTGAGATTGCAGTCAAAGAAAGTTGATCTAAACTGTTATCTTGCAGTTGGAGGGGATTAAATGCACACTTTGGGAGTTTCCCAGTGATTCCTTGCAGTGGTGGACAACACAATAAGTTTTTAAAGCTCACCCAGTGGCCAGTGGTTTGTGAAAGCTGCTCCCTGAAAAGCCTGTTACCTCTGAAGGGAGGTTGCTTGGTTTCCAGTCCCTGTTTGAGGTTCTCTCAGTGCTGCCGAGCAGGATTTCATAGCATTCCTCTTCCCGATCTCTGGTTACGTAGAAAACATTCTTAAATTTGATGCATTAATACAAGTGAAAGCCCATTTCCCAGAAGAAGGGAAGTTAAGACATTTATTTAAAAGAATACAGTTGCTAAAGAAAAATAGCTTTAGTAGAAGAATCCCAGAACGCTGCTGGGAAAGCTGATATAACAACACTTACCAGTATCTGACGGTGGCTTTCATCAGGGGAGCTGCCTCCAGTTTAATTTCCGTGAGCCTGCTTTTATATCCCTGGGCTTTCCATCACCGAACGCTGACAGCAGTGAGCTGGCAATCCCCTTCAGGCATATCCCTGATTTCAGCCACGGCTTTGGTTTTATTTCTTCCAAAAGGATTTTTTTATATCTGCCACGTTTGGCCACCTCTGTGGAAAGAAGCTGCCCCAAAGGTTTTTTACTCTGTCTCTTGTGAGTTGAGTGAAAACTGCTTGGTCTTCCCTGACTGTCTGATGTGCTGGTGAGGGGAAGCTGGGGCTGTCTATAGGTTGTCTTGTCTGGATTTCTGGACAATCTCATTGTTTTGGCCCCTGTGGAAAATCAGACCAAGTCAGAATGGTGGTTTTTAACCATAAAATAGATGTTCCATCATCTACTGCTAAACTGATTCGTTCAGATTCATCACTTTCTCATGGCTGTTTGTCAGCCTCTGCAAGATGAATTCAAATCACAGGATCACTGAGGGTTGGAAAAGCCCTCTAAGATCACTGAGTCCGTTTCCCCAGCACAGCCAAGGCCACCACTAACCCATGTCCCCAAGTGCCACATTCACATGGCTGTTAAATCCCTCCAGGGATGGGGACCCCACCACTGTCCTGAGCAGCCTGTGCCAGGGCTGGAAAACCTTTTCCATGTCCCTAATATCCAATCTAAACCTCCTCTGGCACAACCTGAGGCCATTTCCTACTGCTTAAGCTTGAGCAATGGACTTAATTCCTGTGTCTGACACGTGCTCCTTGAACCCAAAATGTTCCTTTCCAGAAATGCCATGGGAAGGCTGTGGTGGGGAGGTCTCTACTCCTTGGTATGCAGCCTTAACCATCATCATCATCATCTGCTCTTCTCTTCCTCCCACCAGTGACTGAGAAGGTATATGAGAGTGAATCCTGCACAGACAGCGAGGAGGAGTTCCCCAAGCCCAAGCCACCAGCTGCACACAAACAGCCTGTGCTGCCCATGAAGAAAGAACCGAAGGAAGAAAGGAAGACCCTGAAGAAAGGAGCAGCTCCTGCCAACAGAGCCAACAAACAGGTCTCCATCATGGGCTTTTTCCACAAGAAATGAACTGGATCTTTCTCCTGGTCCTCTTGGCAGCTTGGGAGTGTAGCTCCCTGGTTTTGTGCATCTCTCTGCAAGCAGCTGCTGCTGCTGGGGGAGGAAGACAACGTGCAACCCTGGGTTACATAAGGGATCCTGCTTACTGTGTAAGGAAGCCCTCTGGACTAGATTTTGTATTAGAGAAAAGTTTTTTTATTTGTTACTGCAATAACTTCAATCATCTTCACTAAGCAGTGTGGGAACTGCCAGCCAGAAGCAACATCTAGAGGAACTCTTGGAAGACTGTTAATCTGTTCACATGAAATTATATTTTTTTATCTGGCCTTTCACCTGTTTGTTGCTAAGTTAGATGAGCTGTGGCATTTTTCTCCTCTCTTTTTACACCCTCAGCTCTCCAGATTGTTCTGAACGTTCACGTTGGGTAGAAGCCGTAACGTAGCAGGTCTTCAGACACAGGCACAAATATTGAACATCTGCTTCAGCTTTAACTGAATGAAATGAATTTAATTTCTCCCCTAAGACTGGTAAATAGTTTTTGCCCTGCCTTTCATAACCTTTTTTTTGGACAAAAAAGTGCGTATAAAACCCTCTTACTCTTTTCTTCCTTGAATGTATCCCCTGTAAGCTGCTCAGATGCCTAATTATAGATCAGGACACTGTTGGTGCTCTGGCTTGACAAAAACAGCTTTGAGACTTCCCACCCAATTGGCTGCAGAGGAATTGGAGGAAGGCTTTGCTGTTGTTGGGAAAGCAACTGGATCTTTAACCTTGAAGGCTGATGAGTGAGAGGGGAGAGTGATTAGAGGGCACTGCTGGTAACACCAGGCAGGCACCTGCTGCATTTTGGGGTTGCTAGGTTTGGGGTTGCCTGAAGTGGTTTTTACAGGCATAACCCAGACAAGAGAAGAGTTTTCTGGGACACCTCGTCATCTGCCTGCTGAAGGCAGCGTGTCACAGCACATGGTCCTGAGGAACCTGGTTAATGGAGAGGAGTAAATCACCACGGGCCTGTAAATCAGAAAGGAGCTGTTGTTTTGGGTGCCTCCTGCTTTTCTGGTGCTTCAGTTGATAGACAGATGTAAAAAACCAGATTTTCCCAAAGGATTGATGCTGAGCATTTCTGAAGCTTGGGCCAGTGAGTGCTCCCAAACAATGTCCAACCAGTGGTTGGTTGAGTGGTGTGAGCCTGACATATGTATGGATATGGATGTACACGCTGGTTTATAAAGGGTTTGTGGTTGGCAGAGAGATATAATGTGGAGACTGTGACAATGAAACAAATGCCACCCAGCTGAAAATGTCCTGACCTGTGGTCAGTAAAAGGGCCAACTGAGTGTGTTTACAGTCATTCTGACCTGGAGATTGGGTTAGGGACTGGGGAAATCCCAGCACACACCAGTTGTGACCAGTTGGCTGGATTGAAGTGATGTCGCCCAAGGCAGTTTGTACCCCCAAGAGGTGTGAGAGGATCCCCTGCAAACCAGTGGCATCGCTGGGTTTGTGCCCCTGCGGTGTCCCAGGGAAAGAAAAAACAAAAAGTTAACTATTAGAAGAAAAACCCACCCTGCTGTAGTGTTTTTGTTTATCTTGATAGAGTAGAGGGTGTATTTTCAAAGGTAACAATAAGTCAAAAATCCCATTAAACACAGGTATTTTTTTCTATTGTCTGTATTCATTAAATGATTTGTCACATCCTGGATTCCAAGGGTCAGCATGGTATTTGACTGCATGGAAATCAAAGATGTTTCCCTGGTGAAGTGTATAAAGAGTTCTTCCATCAAAACTGGAAGCTTTGAACTGAGCATTGTAGGGCATCTGAAACCTCAAAATAGCAGGATTTGTATTGAATTTGGACCCCTAGAGTCCTATTCCTGTGGCAGATGTTGACAGGACATGGTGTCCCAGTGCTCTTGGTCCTCATCTCTGCCGTGGTCTCCCTGGAGCTCCCTGCTCCACCCCTATATTCCCTCTATAACCAGATCAACGTCACACGCCACTTCCTCAGGAAAATGACTTAATGTCTGAAGGAGCAGGACCTGGGCAAACTTCAGACTTCTAAAAATTATGATCTAATACTCCCCACTCCCACACTCTGTGGTCTGCCAGCCCCAGGGGGGCCTCAGGTCCCTGGATGCCCCCTCAGCCGAGGCTGAAAGTGTCCCCAGACACTGCCTGGGAGCAAGAAATTGGAACTGGTTAGAGGGAGAAGGCTCCTTTGTGGGTGGATGTCATCCATTTGTCACCTGGGGGCTGGCAGGGGGTGAAATGTCCAGGAGTCAGGCTCTGGCTCTTGGAGCAGGGAGCACATCTACCTCGGGATGTGGTATTTGAGGGGCTCAGGGTCCAAAACCTCCTCCTGGAGATGCAGAGGTCTTTATATTTGTGTATGTGTGATTTATAGCTGGAGATCCATGTCCAAGGGGGACCTCCTCTCCTCTTCCCCCTGGATCTCCCTTCCCACCACATTTACACCCTTGGAAGAGCCTCAGAAGAGGCAGTGGGAGAGGGTATTTGTTCATGTATTAAATAAAGCGTGCTTTATAGTGTTTCTTCGCTCCCTGAAAGCCTTTTTTTCAGGCAGAGGAAATTTCATCCTTGTTTTCCAGGTGGGCTAAGAAGCTGTACCTTCCTCTGGGCTAGAACTTTTGATGCACCAGGCTCCAGTCGGAGCAAGGTACCTGAGAACCAGCAGCCCCTGGGAAGGGGCTGGAAACGCTGCTCCAAGGGATGAAAAATCCCCATCTCATATTCAGGAGATAGCAGAGCTGATTTACAACCCTCCTTCCCACAGGCAGCCTGCTCAGAAAATACCCTCCAGCTCTTCCCGCTCAGGGGGGAGATAAAAGGAAAACAGGAGGGATGTGGGGAAGTGCTGCTAATCCAGGATAACTGAGCTGGGCAGGAGGGTGTCCTGACAGCCTGCTGGGAATTGTTTGCCCTCCCAACAGACAATGCCAGCTAAGATACTGGAGCAGGGAACAGCAGGGCCTTATAAGGAAGCAAAACACTGCTCAGCGAGTCCCAGCGCTGGCAGAGGGGAGAGCGGTCCAGGGCCAGGGCTGTGTGTCAGTGCTGTGGATCATGGACTCACAGGATCAGGTAGATTGGGAAGGGCCTCTGAGATCATCGGGTCCAATCTGTGACTGATCCCCACCTTGTCAACCAGACCAGAGCACTGAGTACCACGTCCGGTTGTTCCTTGAACACCTCCAGGGATGAGGACTCTTCCACCTCCCTGGGCAACCCCTTCCAATGTTTAACAACCCTTCTCTGGGCAACCTGGGCCAAGGCCTCACCACCCTCACAGGGAAGAACTTCCTCCTAATATCCAATCTGAACCTTCCTCTCTGTCAGTTTAAAGCCATTCCCCCTTGTCCTGTCACTCCAGGCCCCTGTCCAAAGTCCCCCCGCAGCCTCGTTGTAGGCTCCCTTCAGGTCCTGGAAGGCCCCAATTAGGTCACCCCTAAAATCACTGTTGGGCTGTGATGTGGCACGTTTGATGTCTGCAACAGAAAACCACAGGAAAAGGTGCCCAGGTGTGGCCAAGGGATGAGCACAAGGGCACAGCCCCTGCTGGAGCCAGCCCAGAGAGCATCACCGGGACCTTCACCTTGGTGGAGAGAGGAGCAAAGCTGCAAAACGCAGGGAGAAAAAGCATCTGTGAGATTTTGGAGATGGTTTTTCCACATCCTTCCTCTCATGAGGAGGAAGTGGGTTCCATGTGCAGTAGCCAAGCATTCCATCCCTCACACTTAGCCATGGGGGCTCCAAGACCTGTGATGTGGAGGGAGATAAACCGTTCTGCCTGGATGCTGAGCATCCCCCTCAAGAGCTGGGCATTCCCTCTGGGTGCTGAACATCCCCCCTCAGGATCCAAGCACCCTGTCTTGATGCTGAGCATCCTCCATGGGTGCAAACCATCCCTCTGGGGGCTGAGCATCCCCCTGGATGTGGACCACCTTCCCTTGAGGGGCTGAACATCCCACCTTGTTGCAGAGCATCCTCCCTCGGGGCTGAGCATCCCCACTGGCACCGAGCCCTGCAGGTTTATGTGATCCCACATCTCCTTGTGGCCACGCCCACGGCTCGTGGTGCCCCGTGCTGTCCCCGTCCCCTGAGCATCCCCGGAGCCGCAGCTCCCGCGCCTCCCGGCACGTCCCGGCGCTTGTTTACTCCTCCCGTCCTGCCGCGTCGCTTCACCCCAGCTTCCTGGGCTGAGTGTCTGAAAATAGATATTTTTAACCTTTTAAAAATAGAAAGTCTCACAGAACAGCAGCCCTTGTTTTTCCATTCCCTCCTCAATTTCATCTCACGGCGGAGGAACCCGGGAGTGGCGGGAAGGCGGCGCTGTAAACAGGCTCCTGCAAAACGGGCGCTGGGGAAAACACACGTGTGCCTTGAGAACGAAAAGAAAGGGAAGAAAGAGAAGGGAAGAAAAAAAAAAATCAACTAGAAAGGCCGTCCACTTTTTGCACGGAGCCTTATTTGGTATTTTCATGAAAAGTTATATCTTCACACTGTAAAAAATGCCACTTATTACTCATGCTTTACTAGGTAAGTGTGTTTTCCTTGGCAGCCAGTGCTCTGGGGTTTTTTCTCACTTCACTACTCCCGTACAAACTATTTCAAAGGTTTCATGAGTTTCTCCATCAGAACTGGCGCTCCTGCCGCTGTCTGGAGGACAGGGCTATTAAACCCGAGACAGAACTGCTGTTTGTTCAGGACATTTTAGGCTTGACTTAGCAGGACTGTAAAATTTGTCCCGTGTTGGGGCGCACAGGGCGGCCTTTCAGCCCCATAACTGTCGCTCCAGTGCCAGCAGCTGTGTGGACACCAGGTCACCAGTGTCACCCTATCACCAATGTCACCCTGTCACGAGTGTCACCCCATCCCCGTGGCACTGCTTGTTCAGGGGCATCACACATCCCACACTGTGGATGTCACTGTGGTCACAGCATACATATGGCCATCACCCTGTCCCCATGTCACTAGCGCAGCGTGTCACCCCATCCCGTGATCGTTATAGGTGCGTGGATGTCACCCACATGGTGCTACATGCATTGATGTCACCCTATGTTTGTGGACACCATGGACAAATGGGTGTCACCCTCTCCCTGTTATCACTGCAGATACACAGGGGTGTCAAGCTGTCCCCGCTGCTGCTACACACGTGTGGGTGTCACCCCATCCGCGTGGCACTGCTTGTGCAGGGACATCAGCCATCCCATGGTCCATCCCCCAGATGGGTGTCACCACCACTGTGCACAACCACCACCTGCCTTGTCCCTGAGGACACAACATACCTGGAGACATCGCCCTGTCCCCCTGTCACTGCCTGTGCAGGGACAAACCCCTGCCTCTGTGGCCACCATGCACACGAGGACATTGCCCCATCCCACCGTCACCACATGTCCACAGGTGTCACTGTCACCATGTACACAATGTCACCCTGTCCCCAGGGATCCCTGTACACACATGGACATGGCCCTGCCCCATGGTGCCTGCACACACATGGGTGTCGCTCTGTCCCTGTGGTCACTACATACAGAGAGATGTCACCTTGTCCTTCAGTGCCTGCACACACGTAGGTGTCACCTCATCTCCATGGTCACTGCATAAAGAGAGATGTCACCTTGTTCCCGGGACCCTGTGTACACACAGGCATCACCTTGTCCCCATAGTCACCACACACAGGAACGTCACCTTGTCTCAGGGTCCCTGCACACACATGGACATCACTCTGTCCCCAAGGCCTTGGCACACACGCAGATGCCACCTTGTCCCAGGGTCCTCACACGGACATCACCCGCCCTCCACCACCCCTCCTACCCCACCATGGGGAAGGCAAGCGGTGGCACAGCCCCTCCACCAGCTCCTTACCCATCATGCTAGCCACCACCTCCTGCCACCATCTCCTGCCACCAGCTCCTGCCACCAGTGCCTGCCACCAGTGCCTGCCACCAGTGCCTGCCACCGTCGCCCCACAGCCGCCTGGCCCCGGGCCGGGCTCGGCGCGGCCGTGGTTCCCAGCCGCTCTAAAAGCCAGCTTTGTGTTTTCCAGCCAGGCCCTCGCTTGGCACACGATTTTAATTAGAGTCTGGTTACACGGCTCGGCAGATGTGGAATGTATTTCTTAGCCCAGGTGGAATAAATCTATTGCCATAAAAACCAACCCCCCCTGTTATTAAATTCTCCCTTCTAAATAGCCCAGTATTGAGATGCACGGCCCCACCAGCCCCCCCGCCCACACCCCCTCAATGCAAACCCTTCTCTAAGTGCTTAATGAGCTTTAATTTTATTATATTCCCTGGACGGGCTTCTGGTCCCGGCACAGGTTCTCGGCTACCGGCTCTGCTCTGAGGGGGTGTGCAGGCAGCTGGAGAGGACCCTGGTGCAGGGGACTCGTCAGCCTCCTGTCAGGGGAGTTTGGGGAGCTGGCACTGGGATGTTACCCTTCCCTGCACACAGAAAGGTGTGACTGAGGCTGGGGAGGGGTGGCAGAGCTCAGTGCCAGCTGCTGATGAATGGTGTCATCCCCAGTGACAGGGATGCTTGTGGGGACTGGTCCTGCCAATTTGGAGAGCTGTGTCTGCTGGGGGAGTACAGACACCAGCTGCAAGGTCTGAGCCAACCCAGGGACATCCCTGCTCTTCTCAGGTCCCTTGTGGTTCACAGGATAGCCGGCAGTGCGTCCCTGGGGCTGAGCCCCATTTCTGTACCAAGGCCTGTCCATGGTCCTTGAAACGCCTCAGGCAGAGCCACTCAGGGAGGCCAGAGAGGCATTAATGGGAAGATCTGGCCCCTAAAATCTGGGATCTCAGCCCTGCACTCCTTCTCATGCCCCTGTATCCCAGCCACATCCCCAAAGGCCACTCCATTGCCCCCAGGCCACCTCCCTGACAAAGGAACACAGCCCTGGGATGGGGTGCCTGGCATGGCTGATGCTGATACCGCTCCCTCCCGGCATCGCAGAGGGTCTGGCTCAGTGCCATGTGGTGCCTGCCCTGTGCCAAGGCAGGAGGTGCCAGAATTAACTTTCTGGGATGTTGTTGTAGCTCCAGCAGTGAAACAACCTTACCCGTTGGTGTAGCCAATGGAGCTAAACTGAGGGGCTACACCCACCCAGGGATGCTGGAGCTGGGACACAGCACCCCCTTCCCCAGGGAATTAAATCTCCTCCTTCACCTACCCTTTGTGTTGTAGGTGCCAAGGGGCTGTTTGCAGATTTTTGAGAGTTGTTTCCATGGGTTTGGTGGCTGCATCCACACTGTGGATGCACAGCACATCATCACATCACCACCATGGCACCTGCACACCCTAGTCCTGCTAAATTTGGGGTCACCCAAACTGCTAAATTTGGGGTCTTGAAGGCTTTTGACCTGTTTATCCAAGAGGAGATCTGACCCTCCTCCTCCTCTTACTCCTCCTCATCCTTCTCCTCCTCTTCTGCTGCTGCTGCTCCAGGTCCTGCTCACCCACCACGACCACAGCCATTTTCACCATACATTTTATATTTTAATATTCAAATAT